CCCTCCTCTAGGGTTTGCCAAAAGGTTAAAAATGATTAAAATGAATAAATAAGAGACTCGGGAGCCCTGGGGAGATCAGTAGCTGTGGGGAGACCACAGCTAGCCAAGTGCTGCTGCAGCAGCAGCAGCAGCAGCAGCAGCAGCTGGGGTGCGGGCAATCGGGCTGCTGAGGAAGTAAAGAAGCTGAAGCTGCAGTCAGAAAGGATTTCAAGGAAGAAAAAGGAGGAGATGGAGGGACAGGGGCCTGTGCAACTTGAGGAGGAGCGGGCTTGCTGCTGCTGCTGCTGCTGCTGCTGCTGCTGCTGCTGCTGCTGCTGCTGCAGCGGGTTATGCCGCTGCTGCAGCCAGGGAGTGCAAATCTGTGCACAAACTGCAGCCCCTAATGTACACCTGCTTTTCTTTTTAATTTTTATGTTTATTTATTTCGATTAAATGACCAACAACGCACGGAAGCAGCAGCAGCAGCAGCAGCAGCTGGACTTGCTGCTGCATCGACCCACACGCGAATACCCTAACGAGCAGCAGCAGCTCAGCTGCTGCTTCTTGAGTTTTTGTGCATTGCACTTATTTAAAAGTCCTTAATAATTTATTTATAATAATTAAATGCACAAAAACATTGAAAAAAGCCATTGAAAACGCTGCAGCGGCTCGAATCAGTGGGTCAGAAGCAGCAGCAGCAGCAACAGCAGCAGCAGCAGGAGTAAGACTGTGACACTCCATCGATCCAGCGGAAGACAGGTCTTTTCTCTTTTATTTATTTTTTTTAAATTAAAAGTTGAAATTAACATTTTATTGACTATTCATTTATGGCAATTAAACAGCAAATAGACATCTTCGCATTTTCTCCTGGCCCTGAGCTGTTACCCGTGTGAACTTCTCAAAACCCTAAACCCTAAACATTAAACCCTAAACCCTAAACCCTAGATAGGCGCTAGCACACTGCAAGGCTTGCCCTCCTCTTGCCCCAAACCCTAAACCCTAAACCCTAAACCCTAGCTTTAAACCCTGAACCGTAGTTAGCTCGATGCCGCCTCTCCTTTGCTTGCCTCCTAAAAACAGTCAAATCCCAAACCCTAGACCCTGAACTCTAAACCCCAAACCCTAAACCCTAAACCCTAAACCCTAGACCGTAAGTATTAAAATGGTTTGTTTTTGGCAGTTTGGCTGAAGGCTCTTTCGCGAAAACAATAAAAACCAATTGGCGCCTCCAAGCGCTGGGGCCCCAAACCCTAAACCCTAAACCCTAAACCCTAGACAGGGTCTGCATTTATTAAATCAAAAGTGTTTGCCAAAGAATTAATAGAACTGATGAGAGACTTTTTATCGAGGAGGGACCTGCCCCTCTTGAGGTGTACGTACAGCGCAGCCCCCGCAGCCAAGTGCAGCAGCAGCAGCAGATCCAGCGGAGACACGCTGCAGCTAAACCCGCTGCTGCTGCTGCTGCTGCTGCTGCTGTTTAGGGACAGATTCAACCAGACGAAGACGGGAAGCGCGTGGGGCAAAGAGAGACACACTGAAGCGGCCTGAAAGAAAAACAAAAAAATTTAATTTTATTTATTTATTCATTTGAATTAATTATTTATTTAATTATATTTATTTATTTATTTGTTCAATTTATTTATTTAATTTATTTATTTATTCACGTCGTTTTTCTGTGCGGCATGGGGCAGCAGCAGCAGCAGCAGCAAATACCAGTTGAGTAGCAATTAATAATAATAAGTGAATAAAAGTAAATAAAATAATAGATAAATAAATAAATAAATAAATATAAATAAACAAATAAATAATTAAATAAGATAAATAAATAAAAATAAATAAAAAGAGAAAGAGACAAAGACACAGAGACACCCGGGAGCTGTCTCCTCTTTGCTGCTCAAGAGAGACAAAAGAAGAAAAACAAAAAAGCCAAAAGGAGAAAAAAAAGAATTAAAAAAGAATTAAAAAGAATTAAAAATAAATAAAAGAAAGATTTAAAAAAGAATTAAAAAAGAAACAAAAAGACAAAAAGAAAATAAAGAGAAACAAAGAGAAACAAAAAGAGAGAAAAAACGGCAGAAAGAGACAAAAAGAAACCCTAAACCCTTAACCCTAAACCCTAAACCCTAAACCCTCGTGCTGACCAGCCATAGAATGGAGCTCTTCTGCGAGGAGTCTCTCTTTTGCTGCAGCGCGTCTTTGCTTCTGATGAGGTCCAGAAGAGCAGCAGCAGCAGCAGCTCTCAGCAACAGCAGCGGCAGCAGCAAGCAGCACAGCAGCAAACACTGTGGGGCCCCCAGCCCGGGGGGAAAGAGGGGAGCAGCAGCTGCTTGTATCCATGCTGCTGCACCTTCTGCTGCAGCAGCAACACGCCGCCACAGCGCGCTGCTGCTGCTGCTGCTGCTGCTGCTGCTGCTGCTGCTGGGTTCTGCTGCTGCTCCCATGCCTCCTGCTGCTTGCAAGTAACGAACAGCAGCAGCAGGGCTCCACTCGGCCTCGCTGAGGCGGCGCGGAGCAGCACCTGCTGCTGCTGCTGCTGCTGGTACATCAGCCCACTGTGAGTTTCTGCTGCTGCTGCTGCTGCTGCTGCTGCGCTGCAATGCGGCCACCGGGAGCACCGCAGGGGCTAGGCGCAGCTTGGAAGGGCCTCCGGGGCCCATTTGCTGTGTGCCTTGACGCAGCGGCAGCAGCAGCTGTTGTTGGTCTTGCTGCTGCTGCTGCTGCTGCTGCTGCTGCTGCTTCTGCTGCTGCTGCTGCCGATTTCCTAGCTGCGCATTTGTTACAGAAGTACGAGAAAGCCCATCGGCGTTGAAGGGAACCCATATTCTGTTTTGCTTAGCTCCTGCCCCATATCTGTTTGCTGCTGCCGCTGCTGCTGCACTTGCGATCTGCTGCTGCTGCTGCTGCTGCGGCGGCTGCTGCTGCTGGTGGTGCAGCTCGTTTTCACTGACTGAGAAGCGGACAACTGCGTCCCTTGCTGCTTCATTTGAGTGGAACGGAAGGAATTGCTGCTCTTTATTTGCTGCTGCTGCTGCTGCTGCTGCTGCAGGGCCCACACTTCCAGCTGCGGCGTTGGCCCAACACAAGCCACCAGCGCAGCAGAAGCACAGCAGCAGCAAGAGCCCTACGAAGATGCCTCTGCGTCTCCTCTTTTGCTGCTGCTGCTGCTGCTGCTTGCTGCCACTGAGGACTGTTGCTTCTGAGAGAAGGGCCCACAAAAGAGAAATGCCCAGCAGCAGCTCTGTCAGCAGCAGCAGCAGATGCTGTGCTGCTGCTGTTGAGGTCCCGCTGCCGCTGCTGCTGTTGCTGCTGCTGCTGTTGACGAACGCAAGCTCTCCCGTCCTTGTCTCTCCTGCTGCCGCTACAGTTGCTGCTGCTGCTGTTGTTGCTGCTGCTGCTGCTGCTTCGGGGGCCCCCATTAGGGGCCCCTGCAGCGCAGCAAGGCAGCAAAGCTGAAAGGCCCACAAAAAGGAGACACCGTAGTGCAGCAGCCACTGCAGCAGCGGCGGTTTGTGTGCGTAGGACTGCAGCAGGCTGTCAACTGCTGCTGCTTCTGCTGCTGCTGCTGCAGCTTCCTCTTCTGCTGCTGCAGCGGCAGCAGCTGCTGCTGCTTCCTCATCCTCCTCTGCTGCTGCTGCTGCGAGGGGAGAACCTGGTTGCAGCAAGGTTGTGCTGCTGCTGGCACTCAGAGGGGACACAATATCAAAGTCAGAACACGGCCGCAGCAGCAGGGAGGACTCATCTGCTGCTGCTGCTGCTGCTGCTTCTGCTGTGGCTTTTGGTGATTCTTCTTCTGTTTCCGTCTCTGCTGCTGTTGCTGCTGCTTCATCTTCATACCACGGAGAGTCAGGAGCCAGTAAAATTCCATCCTCAGACCTGGAAGCATCATAGTTATCATCTGCTGCTGCTGCTGCTGCTGCTGCTTCCGGTGCTCTGCCTACTGCTCTGGCCTCTGCAGCTGCGGCTTCTGCTGCAGCAGCAGCAGCTGCTGCTGCTGCTAGCGCTGACTGGGACTCTTGCTGCCCGTCGAGCAGCCACGGCAGCCACCGTTTTTCGCGCAGCAGCTGCTGCTGCGCCTCGCTCAGTGTGCTGCTGCTGCTGCTGCTGCTGCAGATCTTGCAGCAAACAACAAGCGCTACTCTAACTCTCTCTGCTGCTCTCCGGGCCCTCCAAAAGTGTCCCTTTTCAATCGGTAGCATCGTATTCTTGCTGCTGTTGCTGCCGCTGCTGGCTGCTGCTGCTGCGGCTGCTGCTGCTGCTGCGCTGCTCTTTAGGGGATTAATCCAAATGCTGCGCAGCAGCAGCCCGGCAAAAGTGGCGTTTACTGCAGCAGCAGCAAAAGCCAACAAGCTGCAGCTGCTGCTGAAAGAGACAAGCAAATCATTGAAGACAGACAGCAACGCAGCAGCAGCGCCAGGGTGCTGCTGCTGTTCATTTTGCTGCTGTTCCTCCTGTTGCTGCTGCTGCTGCTGTTGTTGCTGCTGCTGTTGCTGCTGCTGCAGTTGTTGTTGCTGTTGCTGTTGCTGCTGCTGGTGCAGCAGTTGCTGCTGCTGCAGGGCTAGCAGGGGTCCTGCTGCATGCGCGTGGTGTTTGCGTAGCCGCTGCTGCAGCTTCGCAAGTTTTAAAGAAGAAGCAAAGACAGGGGGCTCGTGCTGCTGCAGTTCTGCTGCTGCTGCTGCTGCTGCGGCTGCAGCCGCACCAAGCAGCAGCAGCAGCAACAGCGGCAGCAGGGACCACCACCTGCATCGGCAGGGCCTCACTAAGCCGCAGAGCCAACCATTGCTGCTGCTGCTGCTGCTGCTGCAGCGGCTGCTGCTGCTGATGCTGCTGCACTCATCTTGAGGTGTACAGACACCGCGCAAAAGGTTAAGGGCTGAAGGCCCTGATGACCCCTGCTGCAGAGAAGGGCCGCAAACCATCAGATTTATAAGCACTTTTTGCTGCTGCTGCTGCTGCTGCTGCTGCTGTTGCTGCTGCTGCTGCTGCTGGAGATGTTGTAAAGCTGCTGCCGAGGAGACCGCTGCGGGACGGTCTCAGCTGCAGCTGCTGCTGCAGGCAGCAGCTGCTGCTGCTGCTGCAGGCAACGCTGCAGGAGGTACTCTAGCTTGGAAATCGGTTGCTGCTGCTAACGACACTTTTACAGCTGCTGCTGCTGCTGCTGTGGCTGCAGCTGCTGCTGCAGTCGGCAGCGGTATCGAGGGAGACTGCAGACTCCCGTGTTCTGTTTCTGTCTCTTTGTCTGTTCTTTGTTAAAAAGCAAATAAGATAAACAATTAGAATTCGAATTTCATTATGGAGGCGTTTTAAACTGCAGCAGCAGCAGCTGCTGCTGCTGCTGCTTGCTGCTGGCTGCTGCCGCCCGATTTTCGGCAGCAGCAGCGCGCGGCCAGCCGACGCTGGTGGTGCTGCTGTTCCTGCTGCTGCGGCTTATATTTAGCGAGTTTGTGCAGTGGCTGCAGCAAGTAATTGCATTAAAGAATTTATGAAACTTGTAAAGTCAAATTAAGTAAATGAAAACACTGTATGTGGCTGAGGTGTACGTACACCCGAGCTGGCCCGGCCCAGGTGGCTGCGTCCTTCTTGCTGCTCTTTCTCCGGCCACGAAGCCGCTAAAAACGCCATTTTCGGGGAAATAATGCAATATAGATCTAAAATTTAATTAAAATTGAAATTAATTTGCAAAATTTAATAATTTAAACCCCCAAATTGCCCAAACGGCTGCAGAACGGGGTTGGCGTCGCGCGCCTGCAGCCGCGGTGTCTGTACACCTCAAGGACCACTGGTCCTCTGCGAGCTGTTTCTCGTTTCCGTTTTTTTCATTTTATTTATTTATTGATAAAATAAATACAATTAAACAAACTAATCAAAGTGGTGCGTCTAAGAATGTCTACTTCTCTGCAGCTCTTCTTTTCTAGATCGCTGCTGCAGCAGCAGCAGCAAAGAGGCTTGCTGCAGCAGCAAGCCTCTTTGTTTTTGAATTTTGACTTCAAATTTGTTCAAACTCTTTTGTTCAATTTCTTTATTTTGTTTGTCTCTTGTCCTGCCAAAAGAAAAGTTAAAGTTGAATGTATCAAAACACAATTTCACCAAATGCAAAACCTCATTAGCTCCTTCCAAACCCTAAACCCTAAACCCTAAACCCTAAACCCTACATGCCCGACCGCTCCCGGGGGGCGCAGCGGATGATGTCGTCCACTCGGATGATCTGCGTCGCAAACCCCGAACCCCAAACCCCAAACGCTAAACCCTAAACCCTAGCGGTTGGTTCCGCGCGGCAACCCGTCAAACCCTAAACCCTAAACCCTAAACCCTAAACCCTCGCGCTGCCCACCATCTCTGCGGCCTCAGTGGCGAAGCAAAGCTGCGAAAGTTTGCTTTTATAAGCTTCTAAAATCCCCTTTTCTTTTGCATCGAGGGTTCCTCCTAAACCCTCGAGACAAACCCCCCTATTCCACAAACCCTCGTGGTGCTGCGCCCGCAGCTGCGATACTATTTCCGCGCTGTCCAGCCCTGCAAACAAACCCTAAACCCTAAGCCCTAAACCCTAGCTCCAAACCCTAAGCCCTCGCCGCGCCGCCCACGGCCCAGCCGCAAACCCTAAACCCTAAACCCTAAACCCTGGGCCTAGGGACTCAAACCCTGTAACGAGGGATACCAAATATGCACGACAAGCTCTAAACCCTAAACCCTAAACCCTAAAACCTAAACCCTAACCTGCGTTGTCAACAATGATGGTAGGAATCTGGCGAAGGGCTCGCGCGTACGCCTCCACGGCCAAGCTCTGCAGCAGATACCAAACCCTAAACCCTAAACCCTAAACCCTAGACGCTAAACCCTAAGGAGCTGTGCGCAGCAAATGATGCGAAGTGGCGCGTCCAGAGCCTAGGGTTTAGGGTTTTGGCGTGGGGCAGGGTTCCCCAGTCGAGAACCGGGAATTAGGGTTTAGGGTTAGGGTTTAGGGTTTACTTCTTTGCCAGGTATTGTGGTGGCCAGGCGAGACACTGCTGCTTCCATGGCCATTTCTGCTGCTCCGGCCCCACAGACGAGCAGCAGCTGCTGCTGCTCAGAAGGCAAGAAACCCTCAGCAATGCCGCCACTGACTGCTGCTGCTGCTGCTGTTGCTGCTTCCCGCTGCTGCCGCCGCTGCTGCTGCTGCTGCAGCACCAACTGAGACAAAATCGCTAAAGCATCATGAAGAGATCTCTCAGCTTCATCCAAACCCTGCTCGCTGCTGCCCCGCAGCACCACAGTGCACGCTCCGCCTAAACCGCAAACCCTAAACCCTAAACCCTAAACCCTAGGTCCTGAATTCCGAAGCTTCGGGACAGGCGCAGCCTGCCCTCCAACGCGCCAGCAACAGCAGCACGCAGAGAGGCTCCACAGCAGCAGCCCTGGCAGCAGCAGCTGCAGCAGCAACCGCAGCAGCAGCAGCAGCAGCAGCAAGGCACCTGCTCTGCAACCGGAGAACCTAATGGCCGTATCATCTCCAATAACAATTTCTTCCATTTTGGCGCAGAAGCCGAGCGGCGCCTGAGTCGCCAAACCGCAAACCCTAAACCCTAAACCCTAAAAAAGGGTTTTTGGGTCTCGACGAGCGCGGAGGCGCCGCGGGCGCCGCCGCCGCGCAGCGGCGCACCGCGGCTCCGCGGGGCGAGCAAACCCTAAACCCTAAACCCTAAACCCTACCTCGGAAGGGTTGTCGAAGGTGGAGAGAATCTCCGCGCCAAGAGCTGCAGCAAGTCTCTCCATTCCGTCGAAGTCCGAATGCTCAATTGCTGAGACTCCAGCAGCTTTGAAAAGCTGATCTGGATAATTATAAATGAGTTGGCGGTTTATGAACACGTCGCACTTGTACGCCAGGATCTTCTCCACCTGCAGCCAAACCCTAAACCCTAAACCCTAAACCCTAAACCCCAAACCCTAAACCCTAAGGAATGAGGGCTGCGGCCTCGGCGCCCGGCTACGAGAAACGCCCGCGCAGGACTTGGGGCTCTGCAGGGTCCTCGGCCCCACGCAAACCCTAAACCCTAAACCCCAAACCCTAAACCCTTGCCTTTTGCTTCATTTTCTCTTTTTCTGCAAGTTCTATTTCGTGAACAGCTTCGAAAGAATCCACTTGAACCCTCGCGCCGAATATTTTAATTTTGTCGGTATCCATGGGGGTGTTCGCAACCATCACCTGCAAACCCTAAACCCTAAACCCTAAACCCTAAACCCTAGACCCTAGAGGGAGGCCGCTGCCAGCTGCGCCGGCAAGGCGCTGGCCCCGTAGCCACCAAAGTGCACCGCCGCAACGGCAAACCCTAAACCCTAAACCCTAAACCCCGGTGACTTGCCTTGCAGTTCTCCTTCATCTTGGGCTGGCCCACACCTGTGAGGAAACCCCAAACCCTAAGCAGTAAACCCTAAACCCTAAACCGTAGCTTGCAGAACTTCCAAAACGGCCTGCGAGAGGCTGTAGGGTTTAGGGTTTAGCCCGCTGCTGGCCCGACCCCGCCTTAAGGACGCCACCGCCGTTAGGGTCTAGGGTTTAGGGTTTACCGATTTTCTTTTCAAGAATAAAACCCTCATCCAAGAAAGAATCTTTCATGCAACCTCCAGGCTTTTTCAAAATGTGAATTAAATCCAAAGAGGCGCAATTGTCTCTTATCCGCAAAATTGCATCCACTGCAATCTTCGCAAAGTGCTCCTGCGCACAAACCCTAAACCCTAAACCCTAAACCCTAAACCCTAAACCCTAGGTCCCGAGGCCCTGCGGCCCGAAAACAGCAAGTCAGAAGACAACTTATGCGCATGCAAGAAAATGGAGGCCTTGAAAAGAGTTTCGGGGCATTCTAGGGTTTAGGGTTTAGGGTTTGTCGAGGGTTTAGGGTTTATGAGGGTTAAGAGTTCTTGGGGCTTTTTGAAGACCCCAAGAGCCCCTTTACAGTTTAGGGTTTAGCTAGGGTTTAGGATTTAGGAGGGTTTAGGGTTCAGGAAACCGTAGGGTTTCCGACGGTTTAGGATTTCGCTAGGGTTTTAGATCCCGCGATTGTGTGGAGCTCGCGCCTGTGGCCCTCCCTAGGGTTTAGGGTTTGCTAGGGTTTAGGGTTTGCTAGGGTTTAGGGTTTGCCTTGTCTGCAGGCAGCAACTTGGAAGACAAAGTGGTTCTTGCAACATTTAAAAGACAAGTCCGAAGAGAGTCTTCATCTGAAACCCCAAAAGCAACAGCAGCAAGTTGCTTCCTTGCTGCTGCTGCTGCTTTGCGGTAGCCGCTGATGATAGTCTGCGCGCAGCCACAGCAACGAGGGTTTAGGGTTTAGGGTTTAGGGTTTGGCGAGGGTTCAGTGAGGGGGAGCTCAGTCCCAGCAGCCCGCAGCACCCCAGAAACCCGCGGCCGCACGCCGGAACCCCAGACCCTAAACCCCAAACCGTAAACCCTAAACCCCAAACCCTAAACCCTAAACCCTAACCTGGGGATGTATGTTTTTCTCCACAAGCTGCTCAGCCTCCCTCAGCAGCTCAGCAGCAAGAACAACAACTCCTGTAGTCCCGTCGCCGCAAACCAT